TTTATATATAAATAAAAAATTATGCTTTTGGCTTGCAACTTAGACAAGGTCTTCTCATCAATTAATTACTTGCTAATTTAAATGTAAAATTCTTAAATGACCACGTTTAGGCTCAAATAAAAGGCACTGAATGCTATGACGCAATATTAGCACAATTCGAATAGCATAGGCAATCAATATATAAGTCGATTCGATTTGTAAAAATTGTTTTGACCGCAGCAGATTTCTTTTTATTTTTTGTTTTACTGCTATTACAAAAAGAAAATGGAATCATTGCTGTTTTCATTTTCTATTAATATACAATTTAGCTATTTTTTGCTATTATACCTTCGACTCGGTAGCATTTTTGGTGTAACCCACCCGCTCCGACTGCGACTTTTGATTGCCGTTGCCGTTGCCGTTGCAGTTCAGCTTTGCGGCTTTCCACTGCCGCTTTTACATTCTAATCGAAAATTTTTATTGTACAAAGTCACGAAATGCCAGCGACGCGGCGACGTTGTCGGCGAGGTAATGTCAGTTATTTGACAGCGGCAACAGTCGAGTGCAGTGCCCGAGTTGGGGGGCTGTGTAGGCAACGCTAAAAATTGTAGACGGCCAGACATACAAAAGCCGAAAGAGTTCTCTGCCATGGCGTGGTGAGTCGACCGCAGGCGCGGGGTATTCCAATGTAGACGTCTGAGAGCTAAGCCCAAAATGTGCCACTTAGCCGGGCGGGCATAAAAACTGCAGTCAATTGCCATCTCATATACCATGCTGTGGCCCACTGGCCACGCCCACTTTTCGGTCACAGCAAGCGAAAACAACAACAAAACAAAAGGCAGACCACGTTGGCATTGCAACCAACATTATTTTATAATTTACAAGCAAGCAGTAGAACGGCGTCTGCTGCACGATTTGTCTTTATCGACAACACACGAATTTCTCTCGAGCCAACATAAAATTCCATTAATGGATGAGGGACATACTCGCATACGTATATGCATGTATATATAATATCGAAGTGAATTTCGATTTTAGACATATTATGGCATTTCATTGATAGAAATCGAAATTATTGTTTGCATTGCGCGAGCGAAATGCTTGATTGCATAATTTTATAGCATACCATTAGGCGCCGAGTGCCTGTGGAAGATGATATCTGAGCAATCTGAGCAGATAGCTCATCTGGGACTTGAAGTGATTGCAATTTGTTGATTTAATTGGGAAATGTAATGAGAGATAGGGAATGCAAAGACAGAGCGAGAGAGAGAGAGAGACAGAGAGAGACAGAGAAGAGAGGGTGAGATACCCTGATTTAATACTCCAATGTTAGTAGATTTTAATGCATTGCAACGTAGGGTCCAAATTAATGAAATAGTAAAGTTGTCTAAACTGTATTTAATTTTCTGTAATCAAATTTCATTTAATGTTAATTTATTATTCATTATTCATTATT